ACCTGGGGCCCTGACAGGGCTCTCCAGTCGACCTAGCGTGCTGTTTGCAAAGCACTAGGTATGTAGGTATACATACACATACCTACTCACATGAACCTACCTAAATATCTTGCAGTCCAAGTATGGGGCCCGAGTGTGCCAAAGCAGCAGAGGTCACGGTAACATAGGTAAGTAGCGCGGGATGGAGGAAGGAGGGTGGATGAGAATGTCTGAGAATGGACCAACCGAGCTGGGGGTGACGATCTACCTAGCCTAATGTTCCGTATATATCCACCTAGACTAACACAGCACCACTTATGGTATATACCAGACCAGGTTTCACCATACAGGGCCCTTTGATGATATTCAGATTGAGTCTTGCAACGAACATGAATGATGAATGTCGTTTTCAGTAAGCGTGCTGTAAATCTGAGAACCATTTTAAGCTGGCAGTGCACGGAAGGGCCCTTTTCCTTCCCCTTGGGTAGCTTGAGTAGGTACATTAAGGTATGTACGCTAGTTGTAGGTACTGTAGGTGTATAAGAGGGGTCCTCCAAGGGGGAAGACAGGGTCATTGTACCTACTTGGGTTGGTGTCGATTGCATGTAGAGCGAGCGAAGTGCGCTGGCATAGACGTTAAGTTTACATATCGGATGCTGGATACTACCGGGCAGATAGTCACTTGCCTGGCTGATATTCCTGGGAAAGGTGGTTTGTTACCAGCAAGGGAGCACCAAAAAAAAAAAGTCAGCGAGCAGTGTTTCAAGACCATGTTGGCAAGGGCTGACCGACCTACTACCTGCTTGGTCCTGGCTGGTCCTGGCTGAAGGCTGACTACAGCAGGGCAGGGAAAACTCTGAGCCAAAAAAAATCTAGGAGAGTCTTTTATTTCTATCGCCTCCTTGGTTGTACCTTGAAAGTCAAAAAGAATAAGAATTTGGATGGATGGGTAATGTAAGCAGATCTCACCAAGACTGCGGCTGGGCTTGGGGACTGGTTGGGCGGGAGGGCGGGTGGCTTCGAAGGTGGGCTGCGTTAGGAGAGCTTGAAAGAGCGACAGGTGCTAACTTAACTGGCCGCTAGCACTGTTACGTCGCCGCCACGGAGAATTGAGAATTTCTTAGCCCTTCTTCCCTACACACATCGGCTGGCAGTATTATTGTACCTTTTTTTGTCGTGGAAAAGCAGAAGAGGCGCCAGAGAGCGATGGAAAACGAATACAGTGTGTGCAACTGATGACATTGCTTGATCAAATGTCCAATTCTCCATTGCCCCGACGCCTCTTCCACATGCTCGATACTTTTTTGCCGTTCATCATGCTTGACGCAAGGACTCCTTGACTTAGCCTTTCCCAGCACATTGAGTTTTTGTGATGCGCACGTAGATTTACGCAGTGGTTGATGGCAATATTCTCAACGACGAGATTGTACCTGGTAGTCTCTTTCATACTTCTCAGACATCCAAGACTTTTTCAAAGTCATTACTGGGTAAATATAGTGAGTAGATGAAGAGATTTGGGAATTCGTCGTCGTAATCACATGTATACTACGAATTCCGTACCTTGGTCTGGGTAATGTGTGTGTATATACCGTGGGCGTGGGGCTGACGTTTTTCAAAGGCCTTGGAGGGGCGCGCGGTGTAGTTTATTGGTCCACTGGGCAAATCTGCCCGTTGCGACTAACATCTTTTGTCTCTAACTATAAAAAAACAAGATGGTAAAAATGGCTGAAGTGTCTAAGTCACTCACACGTGGTGCTCATTTTGCATTGAACCTTTTTACTGGGTATATAAACACGGTGACGACGTGCCGGTTGACCTGGTAGCATTGATTACATTCATTGTCAATATTTTGCAAACGATTGTGGTTTTGCAGACAAACAGCAACAAACTCTTTGTGCTCGGTGAATGGGGATCATAGATTGGTAGAGTACGATGCGCTAACCTTCGAGAATCAACTAGCAATATTCTACCATCTTACTAGCTGGGTCACCCCTAGTGTTGCGTTGATTGAGCAACTCCAGTTCAACGTGGACAAAAACAATAAAAGAATTTCACTACTTTCTATATCCTACACATTGGATGGCAATTGGGCAATGGGAGGTACAATCAGTGAGCCTTGGACAGATACATCAGATTCTGTGTTTCTAGCAACTGCTCTTAGCGCCGCAGTAGATCGGCCCTACCCGACCTGAATTTGCTTAGTCGGCTTCAGGGCTCCTAGATGGGACTGCCACCGCAATGAGGCCTCTGCGTCCTCGTGTACGCCTCGTCGTCTAGAATGCTGCATCCGAGAAAATTAATCAATTCATCACGTTGGTGCAAACAGGTATTCGAATGTGAAATGCAACTCTATTCTTTTTCCTTTCCCTTCCTCCTCCTCCTTGTCTTGCCCTTTTGCTCGACCTGTCGCACGCGGCCGTTTTGAGTAGGGCCCTTTTTGCTTTTTTCTCCCTCTTCCTCTTTGCCTTGCATGGCATCTTGCCCAACTTAAGGGGCCTGCGTCACTAGCCAGGAAAGGAACAGGAGGCGGAGAATAACAACAATTGATAAATGAAAAATTTGCTACGAGATCTGTGAAACTCAATCTGTGATAACCGCTCGGCTGGGAAATGACGAACAACAAAACGCGTATACACTTTTATGTTTCAGTGGCTCAGCGATCGAATCACTACGACTGAATTTGGTAATCTGGAGGACGCGCATCGAAGCTTGTCCAGGCGCCTCGCACATGGGGGTTTCGTCGCCTTCGTCAGACTAGAAAAGACCAGAGACAGAGATGGGCACTATTGAGGGTTACGGCTGAGATGATCTGCACACAGAGGCTGTCAACTATTTTGTTCCCCAGTCTCCCTGAAACCACCTTGACCTAGATCCGAGCGAAACATGGAATGTGTGTATAGTCTCGCATACGAACATATGATAGGAGAACGAGCAAATCGACCGCTGACCCACCGGTCGGACCGCCTTGAGATGCTCAGAGAGTGATCCCAGTGGCGATCATTATGTGGGCTCCAACGAACCCCCATCGAAGACCAAAAAAAAAAATCCCCGAGCTTGGCTGCTTGGCTTGGGCCTGGTTTTGCCTTGCCCATTATGGAATGGCATCGATGAATATGCAACGTGCCAAAGCGGGAATATCGTCTTTGCACTATTCTTACAGTTCCAACCAGCATGCGTGGAAGGTTTATCTGGTCGATCGTACGAGATGTACTTCTGCAAGAGCCCACTGCTCGGGACACGGCTGTTTGCAAGCCCAGCATTTGAGCCGCCCAGTCAGGCCAGGGTCCCTATGGGCCCGAGGACCACTTTGATGGTGTCCTTTCTGTCTCCAAGTCGTGTACATGGTAGTATTCAATCGTACTTTTCTTCCCATGTGTTGTGGTAGTAAACCCAGACAGGCCTTGACAAGTCATGACGACAAAGAATAAATGATATACGGCATGTTTGATGGCCCCCCAGCACGGTCATCACATGTGCAAGGGGGGGTTTGTCCCAATTGCCCCCCGCGAGCCAGTGGGTTTCCTCGCATCTTCTTTTCGTCGTTATCGTCCATGACACCTCTATAATGCAAGAGTCGACGAGCTGACCCTTGACAGCCCAGCACGTCGGGCCAAGATGCCACTAGTCGTGCATATCAGCCTGCGGCTCTAGGGGAGTGTAGGGGGTGTAGGTTTTGCTTGTCTTGTCCTTTCTTGGCTTGTATGTATTCTCAGGATTTACAGTGCTTAT